GGCATACGAGTTATTCACACACCGTTATGTCATGCAGTCTCAGCAGGAGCATTTGAGTCCTTCATGCTCTTCAGCTCAGGCCACCCAGAAGTCCTGACCTGTCTTTTCTAATGTCCACAGAGATGCGTTTGTTTGGCAGAGGAGGGCGGGCAGGCCGAGGGGGGGAGGGGAAACGGGTGGGATACAGAATACTGCTGTCCAACACTCCTTTCCTATAATGAATAATACAATCTCAATCACCGCTGCATGGGGTTTGGATGTGTATTAATCCATTTCTGACACACTTTCCTCTCACCGTTCAAATATTGGCTTGGGAACCAATAGTTTCTCCCTCTGATGTTCGTACGGCGGTCTCTCTCGTTGCAATGTGATTATTGGCCTCTCATGTCCGATTTCTTCCATGCATTTGTCCTTCTTTACGTCATCTGTGTAGCTAAGTTTCTTGGGCTCCTCAGACTGTTTCTCCTTTTTTAGTTCTTCCATGTTTTTTGGTGGTTCTGAGGGTTTTTCTTTCCTTGGTTCTGGCTTGTGTTTTTCACTATGCAAGTCGTGCTTCTGTTTCTTGTCATCCACCTCCAGTTGGTGACTGTCAGCTCTCTGTTTTTTAGAACCTTCAAATTGCTTGTCTTTTTTGAATTCTTGTGGATGTCTCTCATTATTAGGCTCATCGAGACACTTTTCATCCCTGCTGTCATCTGTGTGTCCTTGACTGGTTTTGCCCTCATCATTGTGTTTTTCTTTTCTGTTCCTATAAAAGTGTTTTTTGTCAGGCTCTGAGTCATGCTTGGGTTTGACATCCAGTCTCCTATGACTAAAAGAAACAAAGCAAGCATTGTTTTTACCTCTGTCCAAGAACTAGCAAACAATGTCCTCAGGAAGTATTCAGACCCCTTCACATTTTAATACGTTTTAGGTTTAATTGTAAATCAAGATTCATTCACCAATTAATCCATAAAGACCTTTAGAATTTTTTTCCAAATGTATTAAAAATCAGAAACGGAACTCTCATTTACAAAAGTATTCAGACCCTTAGTTGAGAATTTTGTAGAAGCCCCTTTAACAGCAAACGCAGCTCAGGGGTAAGATGCTACAAGCTGTTCACACCTCATTTGGGCAGTTTATCCTATTCTTCCTGGCAGATCCTCTCAAGCTCCATCAGATTTTTTGGGAAGTCTGTGAACTGCTAGGATGTAAATCTGGGTTTTTTTTTTCTACCTCTTAATTTGTCACACTGTGTGCTGAGCTGATAAAACAATAAATACATCAAAACGAAATGTGGTGTCTGTACAATCTAGGTTCGACTACAGTGAGTTCATGGTGAAACAGCATGTAAGTGGGGCTGCAATTATTATTTGGGAAGGGAAGGGTGGATCAGACATTGTATTGGTCAAATCACTGACCAATAGAGTTAATACTGAACTCACTCACTCCCATAGAAATAAATCCAGTCCAAATTCATTTTAGATGAGAATTTGTTGCCTTTGTTGAATGCTTCACACAAAAAAAGTCACTCTCTACTTTCATTGCCTCTCTAAAAACATCCCATATCTGCACTTAGAAACATGAATGCCTTGAAAATGACCAATTTACAACCTCAGTAATTTAGACTGAGATGTCTATCATCACGTATGCCTAGACTAAGCTAAATTTCAGATGTCCTACTTGGATCACAGTAATCAGAAGCAAGTACATACACTATAAAATACTACAGAACACACTGTTATAACTGATTCATACTGTACATCTGATGAGCTCTTGTAAGAAAACCTGATATTTTAATACTTTTATTTAAATTCCTGGTTTGTAAATTTTTTTGCACTGCCCTTGGGACTGCATATTGCCTTTGTTTGTATTTGCTGAGTCAAAGATTACTTTGGAGGGATAATATCTTCCCTTGGAGATCAACACTACATCAACATCATGCTTGGTTTAACCTAAAGCAGTTTGGTCAGTGTGGGTAGGGCAGTAGGCTGGTGTTGCTTATTCTGGTAATGACCCTCTGTGCTCTGCCAGTGTTTCTCTGTAGAATTTGAGATAGGACTTACCTGCTGTGTGTCTCGGAGGGTGAGCCGTCTGGAGACGCTGCCGTTTTGCTGGAATCCAAGCCATTCTTCTTTTCAGTCTGTTTCTCAGAATGAGAATGGCCAGAGTCTGTGTGTGTAGGGGGATAGTATGAGCAAATTATTCAGTTCAATGATGTATTTATTACTTAATCAACTATGTAACTGCTTAATAAATAATGTATTCATGCAAATTATGGAAGTAAATCCTCCACCAAAATGCCCAAGGGTGCACATACCAAATCTCGAGCACTACTCAGTTTGCAAGTCGACATTTGAGAGAGCGCAGGCACATAGCTGTAAGCATAAAATCAGACTGGAGAGCGCAACCTCAACTGAACGTGCGTTTGTTTCTGAGTTAGCACACAGATTTCTCCTTTGAGTGTTGTGTTAAAACCTGTCCACAGCAAAAGTTTTCAACTTGCAAATCAAAATTTGAGCACAAGCCGGTATGGATTTAAACAAATTTGAGAGCAGAGGACATAATCATAAATGTAACAGATGATTTGAGTGAGCAGCAGGGCTCCTCCTTCACTCACTAATGTGGTTCTGCTCTTAGCCTGTGTGTCAAAGGTGTGAAAAAACGCAACCCTCTCCATTTATTGACATCATCCTGCAACAGCACTGAACAATCTTGAACGGGGGATGACGACGACATGGACGCCCATGGGAAGAGGACTCTGATTTAGATCAAGATCAAAGATTTTTTATTGTCAGTTCACCATATGTGCAGGACATACAGAAAATCAAAATACTGTTTCTCTCTCACCTAGTATTGAATGCCATACCATTTAGGAAACTAAAATAGAATAAAGGTAGAGTAAAAAAGAATAAGAAAACTAAATCAAAGTGATTAGGATAAAACTAAATGGTACAACCTAATGGGCTGTGACTCAGACCCTGTACAATCAGTGACAGTAGTGCAAATAATAAGAAGATTGTCAGATGGTTGTGAGATTGAGATGCACATGGACAGTAGTGCAAATGACCAACAGCAGCAGATATGATGGTAAAAACAGTCAGCAGCAGATTTACATGTAATATAACAAGGAGGAATGTACTGAGTTTGTGCAAAACAGCAGAGGTAGTCTTTTTGTGTTCTGTGGTGGGTCACAGTCCAGGGAAGGGGGATAATGGACAGCGTTCAGCATCCTCACAGCCTGGTTGATGAAGCTGTTTGTAAGTCTGGTGGAGTGGGCCTGAAGACTCCAATACCTTCTCCCTGAAGGCAGGAGTCTGAAGTGGGAGTGTGAGGGGTGGGAGGTGTCTAACCCTAACCCTCCCCTCACGCCTAACCCGTACTCTTACCCTAAACATAACCATTTCAAACCCCAACGCCTAGCCTTTACCTTGTTACCATGAGCATTCACTGCTATTCATTCTCAAATTTGAGCCACAGTTAACATACCATAATCACACAGCATGCATTTTTGTTAGTACTAGATGTTAAATGGTGTTTTTTTTTTTAATCGGTGCCAGCACAATAGTTTTTGTTAGTACTAGATGTTAAATTGTTTGTTTTTTTTTGTTTTTTTTTAATCGGTGCCAGCACAATAGTGGTAGAAACCAGTGCTAAGGCAGAGTAGGCTACATTAGCAGCATGGCTAACCGAAACACAACAAAAACTCACTCACAGGTTGCAAACATGAATGAAGCCACTCACATCAACTTGTCACAGTGTGGCCATACCCCACACACCTACGACACCCCCTGCAACCCCTCACCCCTGACCAACGCGGCCACTTGTGTTAAAACACAGCAGGGCGCCGCATTTCACTGCACTCAGTCTAAATGCCTGCTTATAAATCCATGCCTGCACACTCTCAGATGCTGAGTTGAACGGTGCTTGAAATTTGTTTCGAGTGCCTTTAACAGTGCTTGAAATTTGTTTCGAGTGCCTTTAGAAGTTTTGACACTGTCAGATTTTCACACAAAGCCCAGCAGAGAAATGGCAGGAGTTATGCACTCAAATCTGATTCTGCTCTTGCAAGTCTGTGCCTGTTCACTCTCCAGTGCCGAGTTGCAAACTGAGTAGAGATCAAAATATGGTTTGTGCTCCTTCAAATGTTTTGGCGGGGGCGTATTTCCATAGCAAATCTTATATTATGCCATAGTCAAGTGTACCCAGAAGTCTTTTCCAGTCTTTAATGAGAACCTTTGCCAAGGCAACGACTTCTTCGTCTGTACAGTGTTTCCTGATACCATTCACAGACATGCCGATCCTCGTTTCCTAAAACAAACGTACACAGTTAAAATCTTTAATCATGGTGCAGTTATTTTATTGGTCATTTTGGTGTATCACATGTTGCATACACAGTTGGTCATTTTGGTGTATCACATGTTGCTATAATTATTTTATTTAGTTAACTGACCCAAAAGCAAAGTTAAAACTGTGCTATAATGGAATATACTAGAGCCTACCTGGAGAAGTTTGAGTGTCATATTAAAACCTTTCAGTTCAGTCAGCAGGTCAATGGCACCTTCCTGCACATATGAAAGAGTCACAGCCAACATTAATTAGACTTTTAACCTTTAAATATTTAATGTTTTCATTCAGAAATTCGTAATAAAAACATAGGTACACACTGATGGCATGCGAATGTGAACTCTGTAAAAAGAATCCACAATCTTATAAGTAAGCATTAACAGTTTCACTTCTGTATTTACTACGTTTTCATCCGCGTTTTACACAAATAAATATCGATGGCATAGACTCAAAGAATGTGTGTCTCGGCCTGTAAATAGGTAGCCTATGCATTTATGCTTTAGGCTCTGGTCACAAGCCAGAAGTTACCATTTAGGCTACAGCCCTCTGAGAGTTCCAGAGCGCCATGGAGCAACGTCCTGTTTGCAGATTCACTCACAGCACGACCTTGCGTGCCTACAGGCCTCGTTGTTTACTTTCTGTTGCATACTTTGGTTATTGTTTAATAAGACAACCAAAAGATCCGCAAAGGCTCCGTCGAAAAGTAAACTAAATTTGACCAATATAGCGGCGGCCATGGACCGAAACCTCCTGTAAGTGAAATACATGCAACTCCGCGCCAAACACCTGTTGATCATTTGTTACAGTGCAGCTCACGTTTCAGATGTGTACACTTTTCACACACTCCGAATCAAACGTGGGCTATCTTTCCCTTTTAAACAAAAACACGGAGCCATTTTTACATTCACTGGCCTTCTCCACACGAGGTGGCGGAACAACGCGCCACCTGTGGGTGTCATACTACAGTCTCACCGTGTTATTTCTAGACACCATCTTGTCCAGTTTCCTCGCAATCCGGATGAGATCTCCCTCTCGCGCCATCGCTGCATTTAATCAACTATAAGCGGACTAATAATGTCGATTAGATACTTATTAAAACCGTGAAACGAAGTAATAAAGTTTAGCTCCACTGCAGGTCGAACTTTACGCACGGTGCACTCCATTCAGCCCAGAGGCGTGTCCTGCTGCAGGATCCCAGCTGACCAGCACCACACATGACAACAACTAAATATAGACGTTGTAGCGGACACGTGGGACAACACAAATATTTAAACCCCAAGGGGATTCATATAATACAAAACTCATTTCCTGGACTTTGAAAAATACTTCTTTATTTCTCCCCATTCACAGATTGGCTTTTCAACTTCGCTTCGAACTTTTCCTCCTTCCATCTTAAATCTTATTGGCTCCACATTCTGTCAAACATTTCTCTGCATTTTGGCGAGTTGGGTGCGCGTGTGTGTGCGTGTAAAAACTGTTGTTTTTCTACTCAAACGAGGTCACTGTCTAATGATTAATCTTTCCCATCCGAAGGCAGAGGGCACAGTATGTTCTCAAGGTATTTGCACACCAGCGCCAGCTGCTGCTGTGCCGAAGAGCAGCCTGACACTGAACCACTACCTCACCATAACCGGATTACTTATGACAGATATTTGTGCAGAATTATTTGAATTTGATCATTTGAGGTTTCTGAATATCAGAGTTTCGCTTTAGTGCACAAAATAAAGTTGTGGTTAAAACTTCCTGGATTTGTTTATGTTTCGACAACAGAGGGCGCTGTGGTGCCAGCCTAAAGCGTAATCTCAGGAAACCAAACAGGAAAACTGCCAGAATAAACTTTCTTTTTACAATGAAAACATTGACCTTGCACCAAACATCATGTGTGCTCTTATGTGTTACACTTTACTTATTGCAAAATTGAAAAAAAAAGGTGCTCTCTGGGATCCTTATGCTCCATTTGAGGTCACATTTAATAATAATGTAATACATTTTCTCCTTCTTTATGAAAAAAAACGAATACAGGAACATGATAAATATGAATGTTGGTATTGTAAAGAACTGTGACTCCGCATTTGAAGTAATAATAAATAATCTAATAATTCACCAGGAATTAGACTAATTAAAATGACTTGAGCATGTAATTGTGTTTGTGCTGCCCTGATCTATTAAACATCATTCATATAATGGAATTACTTGCAATTTTTTGAGCGTGTACTTTCTGCAAGTTCCTTTGTATCTCTGTAAAATCCCGAGTTCATATCTCACCTCTGAAAACCTCTTGGAAACAATCACTTGCTGAGTGTTTTCCTAGCAAATCTTTTCCTGGGGGGCACAGGCTCCCAGAACATGAAGCATGAAGGTTTACCCTCACAGTCCACTAGGGACCAAGCCCCATCACAGTTCAAATCTTAGAGATGTTCCCGCTGCTGGATGCCTCAACAGCTGTGGGAAGCAAGGACACGTGAGATGCATGTTACAACAGTTTGGTTTCAAAGTTAGATCAAATGTCAGCGGAATGAAGGCTTGAGGTTTAATCTGTGTGGATTCCTTTGTCTAGAAATGTACTCCTACCCAACAGTTTGTATGGACACAATTTATGCAGGCAGCAATGCTCTCTGACATAATTGTATATCATTACAGAACTGTACTGGCTGGAAAACCTAAACGTCCGCCCTAAAGGTAAAGCATAAGTATTTTGTGTGCTCAAATTTACATGAAACATGTGCAAGAACACTGAGTGACCCACTTGTTTGTGGTGCAGGCATTTAAAGAAAACTGTTAAATAATAACGGGAGGTGAAAGTACACGATAAGATTATTATCTCTTTGCACTGCTCTTACACAACAGGCTGAGTGGACATCCGCCTGAAGACCGCAAGTGGTAAAAGTGCTAGGCGACTCGAGAAGTGGGATAGCTCACCATGAGTTAACAGAGGAACCAGGCCAAGAGGAAGAGCCAGTGATCAAGATCAACCCACAACATCCTTTAACTCTGTGTGCTAAACCCTTCAGCTTGGGGCTGTGGAAAGGAAAAGCAGAGGATAAAGAGAAAGAGCTGCTGCCCTCCGGTGACCTTTGACTCCTTTCTCATTCTTAAGAAAACTTTAAATTAGGCTAAAGCACTAGATATTAAGAATGACTGACTTCCCTCTCCAGCTAAACAAGTCACAGTGATAGCAGCAGTGATAGAATATAGTGACTGGTGTTTCTATTATATACATATTTTACATATATATTTTGTCCACCTCATTTATATCAGTGAGGGGAAGCTAATTAAGAACCATCTCTCTGTATAATGCAATACAACTCAATAAAACCACAAACTGCATTCTCCATTTGTGGTTGTATATCTCTAGTCAGATTCATGGAAATGAGAAAGGCATCTATCAGTTCATCCTTGAGCTCAAGTGGAGGTTTGTGCCAAAATTGAAGAAAATGTCTCAAGGCATTTCTGAGATATTGTGTTCACAAGAATGGGCTGGATGGATGACCAGGCATGGAGGCATAACAAAAACTGAACATTATGACCTTTGTGAGTGAAGGGAAGGTTATCAGAGGACTGATATTGATATTACTTTTAGCTAGTTGTACCCAGCTGATGATGTTAATGCTTTGTATTATTAGTAAATCTCCCCTCACTCTTGGTTCCGGATGGTTTTCAGGCACTTACATAACTGTATCTGTATGTGTTCTCGTACAGTGCACTGAAGTACCCCAAGTCTCTGCTGCTGGGTTTGACAGTCTATCATTAGTCTCTCCACTCTGACCACAGCAAGTCCTTTCTTGTCTTTGCTTGTGGGTGCAATAGAAAGTTAAAGGCCTACTGTGCTGGCTCAAGCTTTCCAAGCAGACAGTGGAAAGCTGTCCCACACTCCTTACTCTACTGTACATCCCTGATGTTTAAACAGACAGAGTTAGATCCAACAGGGAATATCCACAAGCCTACTTTTCTCTCCGTGCACCTCACCCAGCGGTGCCTGTCACAGACTAGAGACGCCGGGCCTGGGCAATTATGGCAATTTTTGGATGACATCAGACCAGAAAATGAATGATTTCATTTAGCTGTCAATTTTTTTTTCTGGATCTGGTGTACGATGCAGAACCTGTAATAGAGCATGTCAAAACAGAGTAGGAGAATTGTTTAGACATTCACATCTGCAGTTGGCTGGAAGATAATCCCAGCCTGGTGGGGTTGGTTTGTCTGTTAATAATGACCACTGTTCAGGGTTGGCATTCACAAAAGGTAGACTGAATCTGCTGGAGACGCTGCTGGACCACCCAAAGACTTTAAGCACATCCTTGTACCTTCAGCTGTCTAAGTCTCTATTTACTGCCGCACACACACATGTGCACACACATACCAATTCTGCCATATCCAAAACTGTTTTGGTGGTGCCACTGTTTTAACCTGCTTTTGACCAAAATAACTGGTGCCAGTGTTAGACACACTCCAACCAAAATAACTTAATGACCAACCAAACTAAATCCGAACTATGCTCTGAGAAAGATGTTTAATCCTGTTACTGACAACAAAAAGTACCACTACTGTACAGTGTGTCACTCAAACTGCAGATGAGACAGGAAACGATTCACTCTGTACACTCTGTAGTTGTACAGTGAATACCACAAAGATACCTTTAAAGGCAGACAAAGCTTGAAAGGGATATGAAAAATATGTTCTATAACTTATCCACAACTGTCAATTACACACTGGCACGCTGGGCAGACACCGAGTCATTTCTATAGTGCATCTGCAAAAAGATCCTGTGGTTCTTCCCAAGGCTGCGATTTTTTCTCTGAGTACTCTTTGTTTGTGTTGGAGCTTCGACTTAAAACTAGTGCATAACCCCGTCAACTGGAGACTGAAGGATGTTTAAAAAATTAAAAAAAAAACATCATCGATATAATAAAAAAATATCACCAAGCCAGCTACAAATAGGACTCAATAATTGTGCTCATTGTTCTATAGTCAAGCTGTTCACACACATCACACTTCAGATCAAGCTGTGTAAACTGAAAATGCAGAGATCCTACACCAATAGGCCAAATTGTGTTAGTGTGTAAATCCCCTCTTACTCTCATTTCCTTTTTAACTGCCCACTAATCCAATAAGAGCACCACAATTCAAAACCTGTGACTTCTTCCTAGACTCGCTGTAATAGCAGCTTTTGCAGCGCTTTCTGCTGGAATTAGATTCTGCACAGGTTAGATATACAGGAACTGTGATGATTTGAGAGAAGCAGGGCCTCAATGCCTACTCACCCTGTAAAAACAGCTAACACCCTCCATACCTCTCAGGTCAAGTCTTAGTAGACATCAGGAGTTGTTACAATAAAGTCATACTACAACAACATTATATCTTTCAACTAGTAGCATGGATTTTAACTGATAGATTACCAGGCAGGAAGTAGGTGAGAGAAAGACACTAATCAAGTTGAATCATGGGAATTGTAGGATCCTGTGCTTTTGCAGCTTCATGGGGATTAAAAATTTGGGTATCTCGGCCTCTGTTGCATCAGTTTTGTGTGTTTTTTAAAATCCAGCTTTACTTGTGAATCATTGAAGTGCTCTTTAAAGTCTCAGAAGCCAAGATGTGGTCTGACCATCAGCTTCTCTGAACTTTATAAGACTAGAACAATAAAAAAAAGCACATGGGAGGATGCTTTTGAAGAAGCTTTGTGAACATAATCACAGATTTAGTTTTGGGCTATAGCTGTGCAGTGTACAGTATGGAGAAGACTAGACTATCTAGACTAGACTCTGGGCTGTGAACCTTTCCCTCTCTCACCTTTGCTTGTTTTACATGTTGTCACTGATTACTTATGATTATTTCTTTGTTTTCTGAATATGCATACATGGTTGCTTTGACTGCAGCCAGTATGTTTTAAATTTGGCCATTTGATCCCATGGTTAATGTGATGTTTGCTTTGCTTTCATGTTCCTGATGAAGATTTGATTAATCAGAATAATGCACAGCAACAGTGAATTGAATTACTGTGGGAGTAAAGAATAGTGTGCTGATTAGAGTTTTTGTCATGATAGCTCTGAGTTTTGGCCAAAATAAGACAGATCACACAATATTGTCTCCACTTTTACTTTTTTTCCTTGACTGGATCCATGTGGGAGGAACTGAAAACAGTAGAAACCAGGCATAAAACAAAAATAAACATCCAGAAGAAAGACAATCAGCTTATGGGAAGAAAAAGTAAAAAGTGGCTATCC